ACTAGTGGTAGTGTACAAATTTATTTTTCCATTTGGGTAAAATTTATCTTTTCCCCAGAGTTTTAGGTGCTAAGCTTATAGGATAGGTGTGATAATTATATTTTATTATTAATATTATTACCTTTACAAATTATGTTATTGGTACAAGTATGGTTTTATTAGCTTTACTCTTGAAAACATTAGGGGCTGATTTTTTTCCTTTGTCCTATTTTTGCACTCAATACTATGAAATTGTTAGGTACAAAAGTGTTTTGGAACTTGTTCTTTTATTATAATTACTGTAAAGATTAAACAAATGTATTCAACCTAATGCTGCATTTCAAGCTCTTAGTCTGGTGCTCTTCATATAGAAAAGGCTTAGTAAATATTAGTAAAAATCTTGTTAATTTTTATGACTTTTAAGGATTCTTTTTAAAAAAAGTTTTGGTTTTTGGTGAAAATTAAGATTTTATGTCTTCTATCACTGTTAGAACCATTAGGTTATGCATTTTCAAATTAGCTTGTGAAGTGCTTAAGCTTATTATTCCCATTTATTGACATGTTTACATTTATAATATTGATGTTGCATTAATGAAGTTTTGCTTAATTTCACTTCATTATGAGTTTGGCCTATTAATTAAGCTACGCTGGATTTTTTTGGGGGGTGTGTGTATGTAAAGAGCCAGGATAGTTTCTGTGCTTAGGAATTGATATTATCTGCACAGAAATGATGGCAATGAAGTAGTGACTTGGGAGATAAGTAACCAGTCCCATTTCCTAAAACAGTTTTTTTGGTTTCTCTCAGTTTTTTTTTTTTTTTTTAAACATCAATAATGAGGGTACAAATGTACACAGGGATAGTATCTTCTGGACATATATTCATGCGGAGACAGTTTTATTTTTCTGAGTTATTCCAGAGTAGGAAATGCTTATGGTGGTGGGTTAGATGCCACTCTTTTTTGCTATTATAATACATTTCACATACCTCCTACATTTTCTGTATAGCTATATAATTACCTGTTTATGTGCTTGTCTCCTCCACTTGATAATTATTTAAGGTAAGTCTTATAAAGGCTTATTTATCTTTGTATCACCAACGTCTAATAGACAACTGTTGATTGCTCTTCATTTCTTTTTGTAGATCTGGGATTTCATCCCAGAACAAGTTAAGAAAAAGTTATATATGTATCACTTCCCTACAGCCTGAAAAACTTCTTTTACACTTTTTGTAGTACAGGTCTGCTGGAGACAGATTGTCTCCGTTTTTGTCTGAAAGTGTGTTTCTTTTGTTTCTACTTATGAAAAGTAGTTTCACTGTATATGGAATCCCAGGATAACACTACAGTTGATCCTGGAACAGCATTGATTTGAACTGCACAGCTCCCCTTACACACAGGTTTTTTTCAAAGAAATATATTGGAGATATTTCGAGATTTTCAATAATTTGAAAAAACTTGCAGACAAACTGATTAGAAATATCGAAAAAAGAAAAAGTTCTGTATGTCTTGAATATATTTAAATAGTAGTCTATTTTCTCAATACCATAAAACATTTACAAATCTATTATAAAAAAGTTAAAATTAATCAAAACTTATACGCACAAACATGAACTAAAGATGGTGCCATTTGCAGTCAAGAGAAATTTGAACAAATGTAAAGATGCAGTATTGAACTATAACTTTATGAAATTAACTGTACCGCACACTATATTACTCTGTTAATGTTGTAGTCACCTCTGGTTGCTATTCCGGTGAGCTTAAGTGTGTTGAGTATCTACTTAAAATGTCATGTGACACTAATCATCTCCACTTGAGCAGTTAATCTCTCCAGTAAATTGCGTATTTCAGTAAAAACTGATCTCTTGCAGTTCTTGAGTATTTTTCATCGTGTTTAGGGCAATACCGTAAACCCTGAGTAACACCATGGGACCCATACAAAGTGCCACTAGTGATGCTTGAAGTGCTTCCAAGAATCAGAGAAAACTTATAACATTACAAGAAAAAGGTGAATTGCTCGATACGTGAATTGTATAGATTGAGGTCTGTAGCTGTGTTGGTCACCATTTCAGGAGACAATTCATCTTGTAAACATATGATGTAAACTTACAGTATTGATAAATATAGTACAGTATTGTGAATGTATTTTCTTTCTTTTTAATAAAATTTTGTTTTCTCTAACTTATTATTAGAATACAGTAAATACATTTAACATACAACAATGTATTAATTGACTGTTTATGTTATAGGCAAGGTTTCCAGTTAACAGGAGAATATAAGTAGTTAAGTTTCTGGGGAGTCGAAAGTTATATGTGGACTTTGACTGCCCTAATCCCTGTGTTGTTCAAGAGTCAACCCTACCTTTCTTTCAGCACTTTAAAGATGCCATTCCATTATCTTTTGCCACCATTGTTTCTGGTGAGAAATTAGCTGTCATATCATTTTTTTTCTTGTGTATATAATGTATTTTTATTTCTCTGGCTGTACTTTTATGGTTTGCTGTTTATTTTTAACTTTCAGCAGTTTGACCATGAAGTGCTTAGGGGTATGTAGGGGTATGTGTGTGTGTGTCTTTTGTATTCTTTTTGGGTTTTGCTGAGCTTGGATCTGTGAATTGAGTTATACATATATATATGTTTAATGAATTTTGGAAAATTCTTAGTTATATCTTCTGAAATATTTCTTCTGTACCATTTCCACTCTCTCTTCTGCTTCTGGACCCCAGTTACACTTGTGTTACAATATCTGATGTTGTATCATAGATCATACTCATTTTTTTTTCTATCTCATTATTTTGTTTGTGTTTGAGTTTGGAACTTGCTATCAATCTGGGTTTAGGTTCACTGATTCTTCCTCAGCTTTCCAGGTTACTGTTAAGCTCATCTAAGAAAATCTTCATTTCTGATCTATTTTTTATTTCTAATTCATCCTTTTTTTTTTTTTAAAAAAATAGTTTCTGTGACTTTGCTGCTGAAATTATTCATCTCATGTGTAAAGTCTACTCTTCATTATATCCTTTCAGGAAAAAAATGCCAATTTTAGGGTTAATGTAGAGTTCTCTTTTTGTTTTCAGTTCTACTTCTGGCTATTTCTTCAGGAAATCTCTTTGACCAGGCTTTGCCCCAGCCTTTAGATGGCATTATGACATGCTCTTTGAAAGTCCAGAATGTGTCATGGGGATTTCTCTCCATTCTTTTGCCTAGTCTATGGCCTTTGCAGGGCACCTGTTTGCATATGCCTTATGGAGTATTCATACAGCTTTCCTGTTCTGCTCCGAACCGTTGACTTACTACCCCATTCAGTTGGTGAAGACTAGGGGAAAGAATTGGTAGGCGGGTATAGACTTGCCAAATGGCTTGAGCTTCATGTGGGGCTCCTTGAAATTCTAATGCCAGCACCCATGCAGCTATCAATATTTCCTTAAAAATTTGGCTGGCTTTTCTTTACCCTTGCTTAACTTATTCTTCTTCCTCAACTGTTTGTCAGGGATAAGAACATCTTGTTGTTTTCTGGTATTTGATCCTTGTAAGTTTCTTTGGGTCCTCAATTTTCTGTTGGGTTGACAACAGCAGCAAGTATAACTTTATATGTTTTCTGGTTTGTTTTGGTCGTTAGAATGAGAGCAGTGGTGTTTTTTGACAACTTTCTAAATCCTACAGGAAGCTGTCGTATTCTTAGTACTTTAATGTTTAAGTGATGTTAGGTGGACCATGGGTGAGTGCAGTACATAGTATTTTTCGTAGACATTATCTTCACAGTAAATTTAGAAACCTGTTTCAAAAGATAATACTTACCTTTACGTCTCATTATTTGAAGAAATCCTATTTCTTTAGTGAATTGAGTAAACAATACTGTGACTTAATTGTCCTTTTAAATTGAGACTTTGAGGTATCAGGTGTTTTTAATGGCTATACTAGCTCTGTCCATTAAAACTTTTTGCAATGATGGAAATGTTCTATATGCATTAGTATGCTGGCCACAAGCCACATGTGGCTCTTCAGCACTTGAAATGTAGGCTAGTTCAATGAAGGAACTGAATTTTTAATATCATTCAATTTAATTTAATAATCATACATAGCTAGTGGCTACCATAATGAATAGTACAGGTTTATATACAGTATATGTGGTGAGAACAGTAGCTTAAAATGTATACAGCAATGATGAAAAACTCATGGAATCACTGTGCTGTTTGAGTATACTTCTGTTCTTGATGCCTGGTTCAGCTTAAGACTTTTTTGCATTTTTGATTGTTGAAACATTGTATGACTCATGAAATGTATGAGTCTGGGTTCTTTGTGAGCAATAGAACTTGTGAAATTCAAACAATTTTGAATAAATGAATTATTAGCTTTGTAAACGAATATCTATGCTTTTTTGAAATGTCAGCAAGCTATTTGATTATCTAGTTATAGAAGAAATCTAATTGCAACAAAAATCTAGCTTATTTCTTAAGGCCTTAACCATTCTGCCGTGTAGATATTCAAGAAGTTTACATACTGACCAACCTGAACAAAGATAAATAGTTTATCAGGCCAATAAACTATGAAGATAATTCAATTCCTAAAAATTTCTAAATCATGTTCCCCTCCCACCCCCACTCCAAGAGACAGTATGCATTATGGAAAGGGCAATAGGCAAAGGGGCCAGGAAGGGGTGGGAGATGGGACACTGAGTACTAGTTTGGGACCAACCTTAAATTAAGTAATCTTTCTAAACTGCTTAATTTACTAATATATAAAGCAAAGGTCACCTGTCATTAGAATCTCAAATCTATGTGAGGTTTTAAGATTAGAAGGACTCTTTCAATGTTGTCTGAGCTCTCTTCAATCTTAGATAGAACGGTTACTGAAAAATTTTCCCCACTCTTTATTATTATTTTTAATTTTAAATATTCCAATGCTGAATGCCTCCTGATGAAATCACAATGATAACGCGATTGACCCTCTTTGTTTTTTTCATTTTTGAGATGAGATAAATGTTGGGAAAGGAAATACTTAACATGTGTCATTCTGTCTTTCTTTGTAGCTGGACAAATTTGCCAGCATAAGAATTCCAGGGAGCAAGAAAGAGAGACCTCCACTTCCCAACCTGAAGATGACATTTGCAAGCAGTGATTGCTCAGCGGCACCTTTAGAGATGATGGAGAACTTTCCAAAGCCATTGTCAGAGAGTGAACTCTCTTAAGAACTTTTTGAAAAAATGATGGGTGATTCTTTAGAAATGTTTGAGAAAAAGCCTTAGCTTTGCTCATGTTAATGGAACTCTAAACATTTTTTTGGTAGTCATATTCCATGGGCTAATTTCTGATGTCATAAGATAGCACTTTGTACAAAGAGTTTTGGATTACAAAAATACAAATCTGAAGAAAAACAGCCTACCAGGTTTTGGTTTTATAAGTAATGTAAAAACAAATACTCCAAAGTGTCGAATGAATATTTTTGTCTTGAGTAAGATTATCTCCAAAGTATCGAATGGTATATTTTTGTCTTGAGTAGATTATCTAAGTCAGCGGTCCCCATCCTTTTTGGCACCAGGGACTGATTTTATGGAAGACAATTTTTCCATGAGCGTTTCGGGGGTGGTGGAGATGATTTTGGGATGAAACTGTTCCACCTCACATCATCAGGCATTAGTTAGATTCTCATAAGGAGCATGCACAATTCACCATGGAGTTTGTGTTCCTATGAGAATCTAATGCCACTGCTGATTTGACAGGAGGCGGAGCTCAGCCGGTAATACTGGCTGGCCTGCTGCTCACCTCCTGCTGTGTGGCCCAGTTCCTAATGGGGTTGGGGATCCCTGACCTAAGTGGTCTGAGTCCAGTCCATGTTAAAATGATAGTCACTGTGCTCTACTGTTTTCTTTGTTATGGGCTGGATCTTAGACCTGACTTGTTCTATTCTTTCCTTAGTTTTTAGGATAACCAGGGTCTTTATGCAACATTTATATCTGTAGAGACTTGAACTCACCTTTAAGTCTTTTTCTGGGTGCCTAACCTTTTTCTGGTTAGCCTTTGTCTCTGTTAATGAGGCTTATATGAAGATAACTCTCTTCAGTACTATCTTTGAGGACTCAAGATCGTCAAGTGCTGTTTTCTCCCATCCACGTGCTATATATCGAACCACTCACGTAAGTTATCCATCCATGAGATTCCAGGATGGCACTTTTATTGTTCACTTGTGGCTACTAGGTTAAAAAATTTCATCATAATTGTTGCTGCCATCTGAGTAAGTGGACTAAGTAGCCCTGTGATGTTAAATATTTATGGAGGCCACATTTTATTTCCAGAAGTTAGAAGTACAACTACCTAGGAAGTACCGAATATAGTTTATGCTAGTTTTCTGTTACTCTTAGCTGGGAGGGGGCTAATACTATAAATTTTAATATTATTTAGAGGTCAGATGAATATCAGCATTTTTGAAATATTTACAGAATACTTTTTAAAATAACTGGGCCACATCACTTTCTCATCCTTAAGCAGGTCTACCTATTGGCATTAGATTTCGGTGATCAAATCCTCACTGGAGTAACTCAGCAGAAATAAAATGAAATTGTTGCCTTCTCAGGACTGTCCAGTTTGCTAAGGGACAAGATAGTTACAACGAAGGCCTTTTTAAAAAATAAGGAACAGATTCTTTCTTTCCCTTACTGATTCCTTGAGTATATTACAATACTCTGTAGGGAAAACTTGCTGTTGATTCTGAAGCTGAAAGGCTTTTGAAGGGTATTTTTGCCTTCTTTAAATGTGGATTAGGATATTTTTCAAACTTCTCAGCGTACCATATTTTTGACAAATTTAGAGCTATTTCTATGTCTGGAGAATGCTAGATTTAAACTGGCTTGATTTGTGGCTTATACATATCTGTTACATTTTTATTAGTAAGAATTCTCTTGAGAAAGCAACATTGAATAATCAGACATGGTAACCTTTTGGCATTTGTACCTACAGAAGCTTTATACCATTTCAAGTTTGCATCTAGGTTCTTTGCTTTGGCATTGTGCAATTTTTAAAATGATTGTTCTTATTTATCATTATCAAAGGTATTTAGTAATTTTTACATGAAGTAACAACTTTGTTTTGAAGAACACCTCTTTTCCCTCCTCAAGACAGTCCTTTGAAAGACTGTGCTGACTTGATTACTTAATGAATGTGAAGTACAGTGTAATAACTTCAACATTTGTACTCATTTCACTTGGGAAATTGATTTACTTCATCTCTGGGTAATAGTTTAGTTTCCGTGTGCATTCTTAAAAGTGGTGTTGAATTTTTAGTTATAACTAAAGGCTTTTTCTCCTGTTTGTCTTTAGGTGAAAGCTGAAATTCTACCTCAAAGCCCATATTGGTTTCTGTATGACTATTAGATATGTGAAATAGTTGTGTTCGTCACTGCATTTATAACTTACATTTCTAAAGTCAATTTCAGTGATTACTCCAGAACTCTTAGATACTTATAAGTAGTTTTTTTTGAATGAGGTGAACATAATCGGTATAAGTTGGAAGTGGCTAGTTTATTCCAGCTGTTGAACAACCTTTAAATCAGCCCTCTCAGCTTATTTTTCTTCTGACCCTGGTTAAAAGTCCCAGGTGGGTTCCAGATATTTCCTGTTGGTTTCAGATAATAAAAATCCTAGCTTAATATAAATTAATTTTCACCCAAAGAAAGCTGCTCCTTTTCCCCTGTTCAAGTTTGTTCCATTTCTAGTCTCCAGTAGGGGCAATTGTTGGGGATGTGGTTGGCCTCTTCTGTTTCTCCATCTTGCTTTTCCATTCTTCCCTATTCTCTGGGCTGAATCTGTCTCTTCTAAGATTAGATTGGGGTAGGGGGAGGGAAGGAATGAGCACTTGCTGGGCTAAGGTATCTATTGGTACCCTAGAGTGTTGTATTAGTTTCCTATTGCTGCTCTAACAAATTGCCATGGACTTTTTGTTTAAAGCAACACACATTTATTATAGTTCTGTAAGTGAGAAATCCTGGTCAGCTTGACTGGTTCTGTGGCAGTCACACACCATGTGAAAGAAGTGTGTGTCACTGTGCCACACACTTGTTTACTTTACTTTTCCTAATTTTCCTTCTCTCTGGTCAGTTTTTTCCAGTTTACTCTCCATATCCCCTCTTCTATATGTTCTTTTACTTCCTCTGAGTGTTGCCTCTGCCTCTCAGTCTTATCTTTATACACTTGAGTTTTCTGCGCACTCCTTTTGGGGGACTGGAGCCCTTTCATGTTGTAGAATATCTTTTATATTGTGACACCTTGGTATGTCTTCTTCAGAAGAGCAGTTATAATCCAGCTTTCTAAAAGATGCTGAACCTCAACACATCAGAAAGTGAACTCATCATATTAAATACACCCCCCCGACACACCCACCCACCCACTCACCAAAATTTCTGCTTCACTCTTAATTTCCTATCTCAAAAGTCCCCACTGAAGTCATACTTGGGAGTCATACTTGATCTCATTAAGGCATCGGTCACATCCATTTACTTCTCTATCCTCTTTAGCTCTTAATTTTATTTCCCCCCTGCTTTAGTTCAAGCTTTCATGTCCTCTTATCTAGGATATTGCAGTCTTCTCTGCCATTTATCTCCCTTTCTGCCTCTGTTAGAGAATTCTTATACTTCATTTTTGTATTTTTTTTTTTTTTTGAGATGGAATCTTGCAGTGTCACCCAGGCTGGAGTGCAGTGGCACAATCTTGGCTTATTGCAACCTCTGCCGCCTGGGTTCAAGCAATCCCTGCTTCAGCCTCCTGAGTAGCGGGGACTACAGGCACACACCACCATGCCAGCTAATTTTTGTATTTTTGGTCGAGATGGGGTTTCACCATGTTGGCCAGGCTGGTCTCGAACTCCTGACCTCACGTGATCCACTCGCCTTGGCCTCCCAAAGTGCTGGGATTATAGATGTGAGCCACCGCGCCTGGCCTTATACATACTTTAAGTCTTAGTTCAAGCATTACTCTAGTTATCTTCGCATGTGCTCTCTGAGTTACGGATCCCTTAAATCTGCTTCTCAGAACTGCTTGTGTATGAGTCCATTGTGAAATACATTCTTTTTTTACTTTTCGTTTTTTAGATATCTGTCTTCCCATTAGATTAAATCCATGCAGTATCATCCATTGGTTTATCATACCAAACAAATGTCTGTGCAGCTTCCTAACTTAGATTTCTAGGATACTATATTTCTCTTCACCTTAGACACTATACTTAGATGGAGATTAGCTTTAATTGCTAGTCAGCCCAATAACAAAAAAATATTAAAATAATGAAAGGAAGATAGCTTTTTTCATGCATTCTACCTTTTCTTATTTTCATTATCAGTTGAGAGAATGAAAGCTGTGCAAGAAAGCTCATCTATCAGGATGCTATCATTAACAGGCATTAAATGAGTGCCAGTGATATCAAAATCATTCTGACAAAAATCATTTTAATTCTGGACTTCCTGTCTAGAATTGTTGTAAGTGTAGAAAAAATGACCTGATAAAATTGCACAAAGTACTTAAGTATGAATAGTGATGTTCTATTTTTTTATTGGGAAGATGTTTATCGGGCTTTTTTGTAATGTAGGAGAAAGCACATTTATAAAATGCCTTCATCATCTCTTAAGCATATGTTTGAAGTATGTCCTGGTAGTAAGAACTTAGATGACCTACTGTCTAATACATATATTGGCTTTTCAGTGTGGGAAACCTGGTTTGGATAATACCAAAGACATTCATATTTGACTTTGAAACAATTTTCCGTGTATAACATAGAGTGGAATCTAATTTTGTCCTGCAGTGTTTTTTTTAAATTATACAGTATTTCAGGCATACAAAAAATGTAGAACATAATATTAAAAATACAACCACAGGTATAATTGAACTCCCTTTTGTAATTCTTCTAATTCCCGCTTTTATCTTCTTTTCTTCCCTGAGGTGAACAGTACCTTGAATCCAATCGTTTTGGTCCCATACATTAAAGAAACTTTCCTTTTTTTTTTTCTGTATAAGAATACAGTTGTATGGAACAAAACCTTTTTTCTTCTGAGATATTTGATGGTAAATTGCTGATTCAATGCCCCACAATCCTCTAATACTTTAGTGTATATTTTCTACAAGTAAGGACTTCCTTCTATATAGCCACAATACAACCACCAAAATCAGAAAGTTAACACTAATCAATTTCTACCTCAGACACTATTAAAGTTTTATCAATAGTATCAATAT